CACTTGCCTTTTAGGATGACTCTGGATATTTTCACGTTGCCCGTATCGGTGCATCTTTCGAGCTCTTATGGTGTCGCATCATGGCGACTGCAGAACAATGCAAGGGCTCGCTGAGAATAAGGCTCTATCGGGTGCTAGATGTCTTCCGCATGGCGATCATGGCCTAAATGCAATTTTGTGGGTATAAACACTTGAAATCCGTACGATGTGTAGGCGTGGCTGCGTACTTCGGCTAAACTTGGCGCTGGCTGTGCCTTTGGTGAAATATTTTCATTTTGTCACATTTGTGGTCATGTCTCTGTCCAAGACTGAACAAGATGCCGTTGTCTCAAAATGGAATATCCCACAAGCAACCCACTCTACCCTATGTTCATGCCACGCCTACTCCGTCTCAGGGATAAGGAGTATATCTATGAAGCATCCACGTACATATCCGTTGTCAAAACACAACAAAGGAGCGCATTTGGTCGCTAGAGAGAGGGTCTTATTTTGCGAAAATTTTCCACAAATCGATGGTGTCCCTGACTCGTATTGGCCCACATCTATGATCAGGTAATCCCTTTTACTGCTGTACATCAGTACTTCCAAGAACCATCAAGCACTTAGTGATAGAATGCGCATGAAATGGGAACAGCAATGGAACCGGTACAGCTATGATCCCTGCAAACGATAGGGCGTTCAAAGGGACGTGGATTGAAGTGCTTGCATTGACAATCTTTACCGCCATTTGTTGAAAACTCACCATCAGGATGACATCATTGGTGGAAAAAGCCGATCTCGGAGCGCTCCATTCCATGCCCCGTCACATGCCCTACCGTGACTATTTGTATTACCGATGCGTCTTCAAAGAGTGAATGACACATCTAACATATGAGACACAAAAAATGAGGTCAGGGGTTTCAAATCAGTAAAAATACCTAATAAGCACTGGGTGAACAGCATTGCAAGATCTTAACCATAGCTACAAGAATGAGAGCTAGTGAAGCCAATTGCAGTTAGGAGCATTAGACAACAGTAAGTGAACAGTGTATGCGTGTACTTTCTAAATGTAGCAAACTACAAGATGATAACGTCGTTCCTCACAATTTTTTTTCTCGTCAGCCTTATAGCGTGACCACGTGAGAACGAACGGAAGACGAGTTATTGAAGAGAAGAAATAGAGAAGAACAGGAAAAGTCTCGTGACAGCTTTTAAATTCCCCACATTTCGACAACCAAAGCAGTGGCACCACCCTGTCTTCGATCATATGTAGCTACAGAACGTGTTCTCGCTGAGATTCTCTTCCTTTCTTGCTTTCTCATTCTGCTGAAATTCTGTAAAAATAGGCAAACTTACAAAGAAGTAGACTAGTAAATCGCAGTGATGGCAGCTCTGTCAGAGTGGTCGTTCACCCAGGGCACGCCATCGTTGTGATGATCACTTGGGGGGCGGTCTTATCTTGACCGCGAGGGAGGGGAGGTTGTATCTGGTCTGGGAAAATTCTTCTCAATGGTTCACATTTCTCTTGTTCCACGGACGCTATAAAGGGGGGGGAGGGTAGTATTTGGTCGTTGTTGGGAGAGGGACTGCCAAAGATCTATACAACTACTATTTCCGACAGCTTGAAAATGATAGTTAAATCTATTTCAAATCCTGACGACCTCCCTCCACGCCCGCTCTAAAGCAAAATTTTCGGGAGTTTTTCGAGGATGTTCGGAAAACTAGTAGATGGTTAGGGAATATCTGAGACCTTTTCTTGTTTCACACTGGGTCTGGTATATAAGGTACCAGTCGGATCGCCCGCATCCCCCCCTAGAAAGCAGTCGTCGAAATTTTCTATAGGATACCCTATTTAGTGTTGAGGACTTGCAGAGTGAACTATCGCAGGGGACCCTAACCGTTTGATACACAATATACTGCTTACGGGTGTCTCTCTCTCAATTCATCTACCTACCCGCTGCTCAGTTTCACCCATGTTCCCCGTTTCCTGGTCTGCTCCGGATGCGTTTTGAGGATTTTTATCCTCGGCTTTGTCCACTTCGGCGAACGCCCCGCCCATTGTGGGCGGAGCTTAGGTGAGCTTGTGTGTGCTCTGCAAATGCTGGTCCATGCCACGTCTATTCCAAGCACAATCTGTACCCTTAAGTAAATTTCCACGAAACCCCAATTTCAGGCGGTCACACAGACACATACAACTTCTGATTATATATAGAAAGATACGCCCCCCAAATTTGGAAATTTTCGGGAAAAATGGAAAAAAGGTAGGAAGTTGGAAAAATCTAGAAAAGTGGTAGGTAGCATGGGCAGGGGGGCGTATTTGAGCATGGAATCAGGGAGTCGTATTTGAGGTTTGGAATTAGGGAGGGGTCGTATTTTTCACGGGAATAATCACAACGCGATGGCGTGCGTTCACTGCCCATCGTAGCGACATCACTCGGCCCGCGATGTTTTTCTTTTCCCCCAAATTACTACTGTCCTTATCTGGTTTCGCGCGCTTATACACGCTCACCTGGACCCCAAGCCGATGCATATAGAGAGGGCCTAATGAGAGATTGCGTGTAACAAGGATGTGTGCTGTACCTAATTATGGATACTTGCCTAGCTATCCCCCCCCCCGTGGCGAACCATCGTTCATGTTCTATCATTCTTTCAGGTTTTCCTTTGGACACGACATCAAAACCTAGCCAACACTCCACGATCAGCTCGTGGATTTGTTCTTGTTCCGTCACGTTTTCAAGATGTGATAAGGATAAAGGGTAAAATCTTCGCCATTAACCAATCCCTTCTTGAGATGCGCCACGCATTCTACTTCTATTCGGATTCGTGGTGGCTTTTTGAATGCAACGTGGCCTATACAATAACTTGCGAGGGCCAACGGGTTTTAACTATAATGTTCCAAAAGGTGTCCTGAAATGGCGCTTACGAACTGCGGCAGTATTTGGCGACGCTGCCTGGCGGTGCAATGAAATCGTACAGAAAGAACCACTGCCTGTTGGAGCAGCTCATGAGACCTACGATTCCCAATCCAGCATACAGGCAGGGCCATCGTTGTTGGGGATTTCCCAGCAGGGAAGGGGGTCGTACTTGGTCGCCGGTAGAGGGAGGGTATCATATTTGGGCTATGTTTGCAATGGACCGAACACTCGCGATAAACTCATCTCGTTATTGACTAGGACTGTGTTCACTTCGGTTTTCAGCTACGCTCTTCAATCTGGTAGGACGGACTGTAATGACCATCAGATCCATTTTCTCCCTAATTTTCACTGTATTTTCTATTTTTTGAGGTTAGTTGTTTTATTGTCTTTATGAAGTACATTAGGGCGTGGAGTCTTTTTTGTTTCTGTAATAGAGTGTTTTTGCGATTTTTTTTCAGGTGTTTATTCGTCTGCCTGTTTAATGTGCGCAAAAACAGAGGAATCTCAATCATAATTTACCTTGTGAAGACAAGGAACAACTAATCTCGAGAAAAGCAGCCAAACAGTGTAAATTAGGGAGAAAATGGCTAAAATAGGCTGGAAACAGCTGATCGCCGCGCTCGTGACACGCCGCAGCCGCGTCGCGACCCTTGCCGCCCTAATCAAGTGCCTGGATGACGACTGTACATTAGGCCATTGTCACTGAAGTCAGCTCGTCTGTTTTTTTTTGACGCGCTTTCCATTGCGATTTAGAGGGGGCACACCATCGCAGTGTGATCATCTCACGACCCCCCCCCCTCCTTTAGACCGTCCGTGTCAGACCAAATACGACTCCCCTCCCTCGCGGTCAAATACGACCCCCGTTGTGATCATCACAACGATGGCGTGCCCTGCTTAGAAG